CTCTGAGCTGTCTAATCTCTGAATCATCATACACCAAGTAAATCAATAATATTCCATGGTAGTCACTCTTCAAGGAGAGAATACTGTGATGGAAATGCCTTCACTCAGACAGTCATGTACTGTACATGTACACCAGTGAGTAATAATGCCTTTCAGTACAGGATGAATATTAAAACATTATGAGATAAAAAGTTATGGCTTGTTCCAATTTAGATCTGAGCCTTAAAACTCTAGAAGAAATTATATGAATTTAAAGCTGACAGGTTGGCAGAAGAATTTATTAAATGATGAAATGGTCTTGGTAAACTAGGATTGTAAATCACTTCCATACCCAACTATTATAACAATAAAGGGCTACTCCTTTTTCAGAAACACTGAAATTAATAGGAATTATGTAACTGAAACAAAGATTTTAAAATAGCTCTATTTAGTTTTTAATGGTCAGATTGCACAACTCATTACCAGATGTTCATTTTTCTGAACATATAGATAGCAATGGAAACCCAGCTAATCCAGACTAGGGTATGAAGCCAGTGTTGGAGAAGTTCAGGTTGTTAAAATACAAGTGTAACAGTGCTCAGTAGAAGAATGAGGGAAAAGCAATTAAATTTATAGCAATGGCTACTTTTTTTTTTTCTGGTACCCAGTGATAAAGATATTCCAACTTCACTACCCCGAGGTCTGATTTCCCATTTTTTTCACTGGAAAAGTCACTGGGTTCCCAGATCAGTTTCAAACCTCCAGCTTTGCTTATTTCAAAATCTTCAGGCTTTTCCACGTGGATTGTAGAGAGCACAGAGAACACAAAACAACTGGATTGAGCTAACTGAAATGAAGAAAATATGACTTGGTATAGGAAAGTCTAAGATTTCCAAAAGAATGGGTAACTGAGGAAGGCAGTCTTCATAATGAAATCCACTGTGGTCATTCAAGAGGGAAAAGACTATATAGAAGTTAATACTTCAAATTATCTTAGCCTGATGCTCAGAATTCCTTGGAATGGAAGATGGTGGTGAGGAAGTTCACCTAGCACAATCAGTAGCTAAAGGACCAGGAAAGCACATCCAGTGCTCCCAAGTCAATCACTGAACTCAGAATAAAAGTCTCAGAATTTAATGCCTCCTATTCTGAGCAAGCATAACAAAATTCAGAAATGTATTACAGTATTTGAATCCCCATCACCAATCTTTCCTATCTCAAAACCATCATCACAAATCCTACAATCTTTGCAGAAGGATAAGGACATAGATAGAATCTCCCAAGAATCTCTTGCTGCATATTTTTAGTAGAATTATAAAGAAAGTAATGTTTTGATTTAAACTGATGTTTTATACCTCTAGTTTTAATGATCCTAGATTTACTACTGCCATGTAAGTGATTTTTAGCTAGTTAGCTCCACTGACAAACTATCTGCAGTGAAAAGACTAATTTTCAGTAAAATGCATAGAATTAATGTATGTCAAGTGTAGCAGAAGAAGGTAGAATGACCATAATACACTTAGAACAGATAACGTTAAGCATTCACAAGACCATAACCATAACAGTGTCTGTCATTATGTAAAAGTTGGCCATATGTACATCATTTATTCCATCTGCATACACTAAGGAATACATATTAATTAGTTTCTCATAAGGGAACAAATAGGGCATAAAGAGACAATATATTTAGAGAATTTGCAAAACCATCTGTGATTCTAAGACATCTAGTTCCTCTTTTGAGAAGAAAGCCCGTTTCCAGATGCAACATTGAGATGCCTTATAAACAAAGGCTCACACTGCAGTAATAGCAGTATGCTGTTTCTCACCCATGTCACTGTTGTGTTAGATAAGCCGAAACCCACACACCAATAGGTAGATTTTGGCCAGATTCTCCAGCCCAGACATATCCCAGCTTGGAGGCAGCTCTGGAAGGAGGTCGCACACCCTCCAGGAGCCCAAACATAACACAGGTTACTGTCGAGGTCTGAGAAAACGTTTCTGCCTTAGATACCAGGTATTTTGGAGAGTTTTGAGGCACATCATGGCTATGCATTACACCAGTTTTAAGAGGTTAGATCTCCTCACTCCAGCCTAAACTGGAGACAAAAGGCACTCAAAACATGAACCCTGGTGGTACAGGCTAAGAAGGCTCAAGGGCCCATCTTTCATTTTCTATAGCCAGACAGTGAATCGTTGACAGTAGATAATTTTTTCCGCATAATAATAATCTTCCTAGAGGAATGGACCGGAAAATGTGACATTGGGTATATTAACTAAGCCTTTGGATAGGAGGTCCTATGAAACTTCTGCAGCTACTCAAGTCACTGTTTCTCTGCAGTGAATGCCTGTGGGACTTTCTCGCATTTGGCACACTGGCAAAGACCTGCTAGCAAAGCAGGTCAAACATGAGCCAAAAGAAGACCTGATCAGATGGGCACTGAGCAGTAACAGACTGTGCAGTCAACTAAGGGTTGGCATCACGGTCACTAAGCTAGACCATGGCAACAAGAACATGTTAATGTGTAGGTCCCTCAAAGGGAGTGAGGATGTTGCTGGGCAGAGAGAGGTAGCCTGTCTAATCCAAGTGAAACATGACAGAGTTTACACACACAAGAACTTTCTGCAGATTGTCACTTTTGTGGTAAGCCAGCGCTCCACAATGTTGCTCTGAGCATCAGATGAAGCTGAGATGAAATGAGATTTAATTTATGCCTGTATTTTGCCATGTTCAACTCTTTAATCCCATTAAAATACAGAAAGTTACAGATTTAAACAGAAATTAAAAAATTATAATTAACACTTTTGAAAGAAAGCCCAGCTAACAGCCTGTTGAGTGAGGAGATTGTCCCGCTCTGCTCTGCACTGGTGCAGCCTCACTTAGAGTCCTGCATGCAGCCTTGGGTTCTACAACGTAAGAAAGACATTAAGCTTTTAGAGAGCATCTAAAGGAGGGACAAGAAGACAGTAAAGGGCCTTGAGGGGAAGCCGTATGAGGAGCAGCTGAGGTCACTTGGTCTGTTCAGCCTGGAGGAGACTTAGGGGAGACTTCATTGCAGTCTACAATTTCCTCGTAAGGGAAAATGAAGGGACTTCTCTTGGGTGACTAGTGGTAGGACCCAAAGAAATGGCATGAAGCTGTGTCATAGGAGGTTTAGGTTGGATTTTATAGTAAGGTTCTTCACCCAGAGGGTGGTCAGGCACTGGAACAGGCTCCCCAGGGAAGTGGTCAAGGCACCAAGCCTGACAGAGTTCAGTAAGTGTCTGGACAACATTCTCAGACACACGGTGTGGGTTCTGGGGTTGTCTTGTGCAGGGCCAGGAACTTGACTTGATGATCCCAGTGGGTTCCTTCCAGTTCAGGATACTCTGAGTCCTCTCTGCTCTCAAGAGAAATCAATTTTCACAACGTGCTGCTGGCCGGGAGTTACACACTAAAAACCTTCAAATATCTTTACAGCACCCCTGAGACACATGGAGACCTATCCTGACGTTCACAACGGCATTAAACCTTTGCCTTGAAGAACTCTCCCGGCTCATTTTTACCACTGAGCCCTCCAGACTCCCGCCTCACCAAACATCCCGCCAATCTCTCCCCGTCCACCACCCTGCCCGCCCGGTCTCCATGGCGCCGCTCCCGCCCCTTCCGGAGCGGCTGGGAAGCGGCGGGGTGGAGGGTCGGGCGAGCTGTGGGGCCCTGTGCCGGGGGCTCCGCGGGATAGGCCCACAGGTAGCGGTGCTCGGCGGGGCGCGGGGCTCCCCCGGGCACGGCGCTCCCCCGACCGCGCCGGGGAGGGGGCGGCGGGAGGTGGCGGCACGGGGCCCCGTCCTGCGCCCTCGGCTTGTGCCGGCCCGGCCCTTCCTGGCCGGCCGCTGCCATCGGTGGCTCCGCCGATCACTCTCCGCCCCGGCAGACGCTTGCTGTGAGTCAGTGTTAAACTAACATCGCAGAACAGTGCTGGAAGACACCGCTAGTGGAGGTGTTGGCTGGGAATAACACCTGCTCGAAAGCAAAAAAAGGAACTGATGGGGTGTGCTAAACGCTCTGACTGATTGTCATTAAATGTTTTAGCCGTCTGTGCATCTGAGGATGTGATATTTGGGATGTCTCGGCAGACTGCTGCAATACAGAAGAGTACTTGGCTATGTAAGCTCACTTATATGCCTATTACTTTAGTATTTAATATAACTGATGTAAAATGGTTATGAAGAGTAGTAGTAGTCATTAGAATGAGAACCTCTGCACTAGCAGTGAATGGAATTCTTTTGGTTTTACTTTTGGAGGAAAGGATGCTATGCAAATGAGTTTTAAGTACAATTAGGTGCCAAAAATGTTGCATTTAAATAAAATACCCATTTAGTTTCTTAGTGATACTTTTTCTTCTTGATTTTTTTTTCAGTATCCTAAGTGTGACCATAAAATAAGATTCTTTGCCTGCTGCACCAAACTCCCTAAGTACTTCTTTTGCCATTTGGTCACGTGGCTTCAACTACAATGGTAAGTTATGATTTGGATAATATATTTTCAGATTCTTTTGCTCTAGCCTGCTAGCTGTCTGGCTGATGAGGAGAATACCATCACATTTCACATTGAAAAGTGTCTCACATTGTCTTTAAAAAATTATTTTGTATGTCACTTCTGAGCTCTGACATTCCTTTTTTCAGGGATGTGTTCCTTCACAGCCTGTGAATGCTTCTAAACACTGGCCAGTGCATCACAGGAATTGTTATATAAAGCTAATGGTGGGTCTTCAGTCACAGCTGATGGTAGACGGGTGCATATAAATCCTGCTTCCACATAGTATTCTGTTGACTGGTGCTAATATTGATTTGGATTGTTACCTAATGTTGATTGTTACCTAATTCAATTCAGAATTGAATATCTGAAATCATGCAGATTTAGACTTAAATAGAAAGCACGAGTGTTAGACATTTTCATAAAAACACCTAGACACTTGAAAATTTACATGTTCTGTAGTGGTGGATTCTAACAAGCAATAGCACCTAAAGTAGGTGTTTTTTTCATGTCAGGTAAGAAATTTTGTGTTAGATACGTTGTAGATTAATAGTGAAAAGCCTGAGTGGTTTTGTTGTATATTTCTTTGTTGTTACTTTGTTGTTGTGTAATGTTTTTCTTCCTTGAGCTTTATGATAATGAAATATGAAATATTCACTATCTATGAAATAAGTGGTGCTACCTTGTAGTGGACGTGGCTCATGTGCCTTCTGTTCCTTGAGATTCAAGTGAAGATATTTGCTTTCATGAACAGCTGATAGAGATGGTTTAAACTGAGGAAATAACACAAATGTCTGTGTGGGAAGAGGTATCTATTACAAATGTTTCTAAGCTTTACTGAATATTAGAGCTTGTTACAATACATTCCTAGGGGCTTTATCCACCTGCCCCTGAAATTAATGCATTGCTTCTCTGGACTTGGAGCTGAATCAAGTCCCAAGCATTTTCTTAAAAGACTTTGGTTCTTATTATTGTCCTCTCTCTCCTCCCTGCCCTGAATCAGTTTCATTGTCTGGTGCATTTAGCAGCTGCGTGTTATTCCTGCACAAAGGAGGCAACAGAGCTAAAGTGAGTGCTGGAGGAGGAAAGTTAGGAGCCAAGGAAGACTTTCTCTCTTTTTTTGTTTATTCCAGTTTAAAATACTTGTTAAATTTTAGTCCAAGAACTCATTATTCTTTTTGCTCTTCTTGAAATACAGGAATATCAGCTGCAGGTATACTGAAGTGAAAGACATTCCAGAGGAGCTAAATTCATTAAAGTAAATGGTATTTAGTATACTATGCAATGGGAGATAGAGCAGCTCTTCCAGATTTTGCCATGTTTTGGTAAAGTTGGCCAGACTTCTTAGCCTGCCGTGGAGGAAATCCGGAGTGGAAGTTGGTTTCGTTTCTTAGCCAACTAACAGTATGTCATAAGAAACTCTTCTCAAATTGTATTGTGTGCAGAAGTAACATTCTGAGCACAAGATCTTTGTATTTTGTGTATTAATACTTGGGCACCACTATCTAGAAGTTAAAATGTTTTCTTCCTGGAGAGCTGTTCAGGGACACTTTGGCATAGCCTTTCTGTTGAATTATTGACCAGCTTAACAAAGGAGAACAGGTTTTCTACTTGTTATCGCTTACTGTTTTGGTTAATATTTGTTACTGCTTTTATTAGATGTAATTTCTATTCCTATTTTTAATTCCAATTGCCTTTCATTGTTCTAAGGCTACATAATTTAGCCAGACCTTGTGATACAGTTACATAAGGTTTCAGCTGTTAATTTTAGTATGTGCCAAAGAATGTTTGAGCCCATCTTCTAATTATAAGTCCATATCAGTAGTAAAGCTTTCATAGTGTTTTTATGTATGAGGATGTTTAAACAAGTCATTTAATTTCTAAAAACCCCTTTGTGATTCTTGCAGCAACAAGCTTTGGAACTGGCATTGGATCGTGCCGAGGTAAGAAGCAGCTAAATTACTTGCTTGTACATAATATATTGGTCTCACAGTTATAAAAATACAACAGTTATTTTTTTATCTCTTCTGAAAGGCAGTGTAAAAGCATGTTATGTAATTATATGTATGTGTATAAATAATCACCCATACATGTAACACTGAGTTTACAAAATTCTCACTAAAATTGCTGTCATGTATTTGTCTCTCACCCATTCTACTGCAAACATCATCAAGTGCGATGGTGATAGACTATGCAGGACTTCAGTTTTCCCCTTTTAAACCAGTATATCTGTGTGCTGTGAAATAGGCAGAGCTCTACAGAGACAGCTGGCAGAAATATATGCTAAAATCCTGTTTAAGGATAGCCCAGTTAGAACAAAGAGGCAAGTGCCTTCACATTCATGTTCTTTCATGCTGCCATGTGGTACAACAGTTACCTTGAACGCTGTTATGGGAAATACGTGTTTCTGTGGGAGAACCTCTCTTCACTGACATTCTGAACTAAGCTGTTAATCAAAATACTTCTGACAAACAATAGAGATTAGGAAAAACCTTATTAAAATATAAATCATATTTAATGTGGGATGATATCTCTCTTATTCTTTTTTAATTCGAATATTTAATGTACATGAATTGTTTTTATAATGCACAGCTCTATAGAGAAAACAAATGTAAATGCAAAAGACAAGGGGAAAACTAAACTTCCTGAAATTAGTTTTGTTGAGGAATACTTGATTGTAGATGTTGTCAAGCCAGCATGCATTTGGTCAAATCTTAGCATGTTCACCACATTAATGTCAGGGTGTTAACTACATTAACTTCAGAAACGTTAGCTACATACAGTAGTGTTAATTACTACTGTAATTAAAAAAACAAATGCAGAATCAAACCTTTGTGTGCAACTAGTGCCATAGCCATGAAATGCTTCTTTTGACAACTAAACTGAGCTGTGGTTCTTGTTGATGACTTTAACATAAACCAGATCGTGTTCAGTACTCTTTTGAAACAGTCATGTATCATAGCTGTTAATTATTTTCTGTATTCATGGAACACTGTCTGGTAATGATGTAAAGTTGTGTGGTAAATAGAATTAAATTTCTTTGTAACATATGTTATTTTTTTGGTTTACTTTTCTCTTGTAGTATATCATTGAAAGTGCCCGTCAGAGACCTCCCAAAAGAAAATATTTATCAAGTGGAAGGTACTAAGAGTTTCAGTATTCAGTTTTTAAATAGCATTTCTTTGATTTAATTTTGGTTACAAATTAAGCTTTTTTAATTGCAGAAAATCTGTGTTTCAAAAACTTTATGATTTATATATAGAAGAATGTGAAAAAGAACCTGAGATAAAGGTAAGTGGAAATTGCTGAGAAGCTTTTCATTGCTGTCTAAACAGGCAAGTTCAGAAAATACATTTTTTTTTCCCACCTAATTTCTTTGTTAAAACAAGAATAAACTCTTCCTACTGTAGTAGTTACCTAAGGCTAGAACTGCAGGAGAAACGATTACTATGACTTCTGTGGACTGAACTGTGTAATTTAATAGCATCATCTTAGTTCAGTTTGAAATGAAAACAAGGTAACGGGAGGGCCAATGACTACCTGGTAACCCTAAATCTGTTTTTAGAGGTAATGAAGTAGAATGCTTGCTGAGGATTGTATATAGTGTACTCTTGAGATGCTTTCCTTTATACAGAAAGAGAGAATTTCAAAAGAATGGTCTGGAATGGACAGATGTATCTAATATGTTTATTAGAGAACAGTACTATTAAAGTAACTGAACGATATAATGTGAATAGTAAGGCTTAGACTGTCTTGAGTGACCTGTTCATTCTGTCTTAATCCTGTGTCACAGAAGTCAGTTGAGGTCAAGTTCAGGACCAGTGTCAATGCCACGTGCATGGTTGTCAGTATCACTGTTTCATAGTCAATTACTTAGAATGACTGCCATGGGCAAAAATGTGGATAATTTTTGACTCTGTGCCTTGTTGTAAATTCAAATTTATTTCTCAAACAGCTGGTAAACTCTGAAGTTTGTGAAATTTTTCATAACGTTAGCAAAGAAGTTCAAGCAGACTTAGCAATGCTAAATATAAGGTATAAAAAGGCACAAGTTACCTTGCTAAACTGTGAATGTCAAATGGAACAATAAGAACGAGTTGTGGAATGCTGTATTGCTGCTTCCAAGGAAATAAAAATGAATGAGAAGATAAATGGGCATGAGACATTAGTTACCAATGACCTGTAATTCCTTTCAGTGATTCTGATATGGTTAATTGTATTCAGCATATGATCATGATTCAAATCACAGATGTGAGGTTTTAAGCAAATTATAGGCTTGAAAAGGTTAAAACATCAATAGTGAATGGGTAATAAAATACTTGAGCAGCAGGGAGAAGATCAGCCTTGCTAGACTGGAATCTGGGAAAACCCTGGGATTTTAATGCAGTAGGTCTTGCTAAACTAGAAGGCACTGGGCAAACTTACCCAACTATAATAAAATTGAAGTAGTGAAGAGAGTTATAACATCACAGTAGGTGAAAGATATTGTTGCTGATTTAGATTTGAATAAAAAATTAAGTTCTTTATTGAGGAATTGGAAGCTTATGATTGGAAATTTGTATGTAGAGCCCTTATTCACTGAACTAAGATGTGGATGGTTAATACATACCTTGGTCTTATGTTATGGATTGTAATAATTGAAAATGAGAAGCTCAAAGATCAAGTTACACAGGTAAAAAAATAGTGCTACTGTGAAAGTTCATCCACAAGCATAGGAATGTGTATTTGTCTCTTAATTGCTAAAGCAAAACTGAACTAAGTTCTGACTAGAATTTAATCAATGACTTGGATGTAGCTTAAAGGTTTTAGTGTACAGAGCAGCAGCCTTCCATAAATCAAATCTTATTGCTGTTTTTTGCATACATAGACAAATTGTTAGGAAAAAAATTTTGTTTATTTAGAAATTCCATGAGTGGTTACTAGTTAGTATAAATTATTCTGTGCCTGTATTTTGGATGGAATAATGCCCTTAACTGAATGATCCTTTTTCTTCAGCTCTTGAAAATAGTTAAGTTGGATTAGAACTGTTAACAGTATTATCAGTAACAGCTTCCAGAAGTTGTATTTGTTCTATCCCAGTGATAGAGTACTGGAATTGTTTTTTTAATTTTTAATTGTTATTTTTAAATATAACTTTAGTGTAATTAATTTATTCCTAATCTCTTTTACATAATTTACAGAACTCTCATATTTCTTTCTGTCCTAATGCTAGTTCATAGCTAAATATGAAAGAATTAACTTATCCAACACAGGGGAACATACTCAAAAACTTTTCAGTCTTAAAAGAGAGGATGTCAGAGTATTTGAGTGCTAACTTTGCTCTCAAATGGCATTTACTGTACCTCAGGCTGCTTCCTACTGTGTCTAAATGAAAGCCCAATAGCTAAATCCCCTACCCAAGGATGTGTCTGAAAATCGAAGCGCTGCACATGCAGCCTCCTGGTGTTTGGTGGATGGTAGAGAGGTTAATAGGAGTTCTAGCTGAAGAATGTTTTGCATAACATTCTGCATCTCCAGCATCCTGTATGAGAAATTGGCTTTCATGAGCATCTCTTACCTCTGTTGTTGCTGTGACATACTTTCCCCCATTGTCCCCTGCTCTTCCAGTTCTTTTCCCATTAATTCTAAAAGGATTTAGATGCCACTTTGTCTGTTTCTTTGTGTTAGTTTCCACTGTTTCTGTACTGTAAAAGCCAGTGAGATGTAGTCACCATCATTCATGATGCATGGGGAAGTGTTAACTTTAGGCAATGGTTCTAAGAACTACATAGCAGGAAATTGAAAATACTCTCTTCCTCTTTTTCTGCATACCTATTAAAATTATCTGTTTAATTATGTTGCTGTGGGATTTGGAAGTTTTGTTTTCAGTCCTTTTCTCTAATTTTGTTCTCCTGTAAGTTATAATCCTGCTTTATCTCTTTTCAATATATATGGAAAGATGAAATTGTTAAAAAAAAGATAGCCCACTGCTACTTAGTTGGGTGTACATGAAATGAGTAGCTTGGCAGGGTTAGTAGAGCGCTCGGGTTAACTCCCAGTTAATGGCTCCACCCAGGGCTGGTATTCAGAGATGAAATCTGGCCTCCAGCCAGAAGGTGTAAAATTATCTGAGGTTTAGAATTCGTTGTCTTAATTCATTGTTTAAAGCCCTTCTAAGGGGGCTTTAAATGTTTCAGTTGGTAGGATATATATGGGGTCTCTGAAACATACCAAGTAATTTTAAAAATCTGTTATACACGGAAAAGATCATTCTTATAGTTAAATAAGGGAATAGTGTCTGCAGCTGCTGGATCAGATTTCAGCAAATACAGACAAGAAAATGCAAGTAAAGCTTCCAAATGCTGTAATTCAGTATTTTAATCCTGGAGAGAAATATCTGCTGCTGTTAGGAATATTTGAAAGTACTAAATATTTCGTTGCTTTTATCAAGCAATATGTGTAGTGGATAAATGATGTTTGCAGAAATTTTACAAATAAATAGAGACACTGTAGATTTATAACATTGTAGCATAGCATCATTCCTATTAACTCTTTTGTCTGTGGACTTCAGTTCTAGGGTTTGTAATTTAAATGAGTGGGTTTTTTTCAAAAAATCTGTGTGATAATACATAATATATTTACTCTGTTGAATACAGTACAATTAAATTTAACTGGGCGTGTTTAGATATATACTTTGTCATTAATCTAAATAATAGTCATATTCTAGCAATTGTTTCTATTTCTACTAATTATTTCATTGTATTATGTTCATGAGCAATGTTTACTTTTAAAGCAGAAGCTGAGGCGAAATGTGAATTTACTTGAGAAGCTGGTTGTGCAGGAGACGTTGTCATGTCTAGTAGTGAACCTCTATCCGGGAAATGAGGGTTATTCACTTATGCTCAGGGGAAAAAATGGTTCAGGTAATACTTTTGCTCTTTAATTTTTAAAAATACTCAGAATGCTATATAAATAGTTAGAACGTGTTGTTGCTTACATTTACCTGTTCTGCTTCTAAGACAATTCCAGGAGTGAGGGGTGGAGGGAGAACAAACAACTGTACTTGAATTAAAATTGTACATAAAGCTTGAGGTGCAGTATAAATCTGTAGATGTGAGTCTTTTTGATAGCCTTTCATTCTCTTATTTCCACTTCATTTGTGGAGTTGCATATCTAAGTTTCTCTTGCATCAGGTTCCTTCTGTCAGATTGTTTCTTTCACTGTTTGCTATATCTAGGTCTGTCTAAAGGCGTTTGTGTTCCAGTTTGGTTGTATCTCCTTGCTGTTGGTACTGTGATGTGCAATAAGAGCATACAGTGTGTCAACTGGAAGCAAAAATTCTGTCTATTAGCACCGTAAGAGCGAAATAAAGCTCTGGGAACAGAAAGGGATGTGAAAATTAATACTGTGCAAAAAAATGGTCTGTTTGGATAGGTTTCTGCCAACCCTGCTTTCCCCTGTAGCAAGTTTGTTTTAGATTTTTCGTTGTTAAAGTTGGAACTTGAGAGGCGAAAGAAAAGTAATATGTTTTGTTTAAATTCAGATTCTGAGACCATTCGTCTGCCTTATGAGGAAGGAGAGCTGCTTGAATATTTGGATGCAGAAGAACTACCACCTATTTTGGTTGATCTTTTGGAAAAATCTCAGGTTTGAAAGTTTTGTTTTCAAAAAGATTTTATGTTTTGTACCCAGATAAACCTTGATTTTTTTCAATGCTTCTCACAGCATTCTAATCACAAGACACTTGTGCATTTGAAACCGTAATATTTAAAGCCTCAAATATTTTATTGTTATTCAGGAAAAAAAATACTGAGGAGAAAGAGATAGAAAATTGCTATGGTTATAGCTGTGAAACAACTTCAACTCTGTGCTGTAGCAAAATGCCCTTCGTTCTTTATCATAACGACAATGTTTGGCATGGGAATTTCTTGAAACTACATTGCTGGCGTATGAAACACTGTTTTAAGCCTGTATTTTACGTATGTCTAGGTATGTAGTAAAGAGCACTGGTCTGAAAAAATTAATGATTAGTTTTATTCATAGTTTCACTGAATTTTATACCTTATATAAAAACCTTCTATTTAAAAGCAGGGGTGGATTGGTAAATATTTGTTTATTTAAAAGTTGTTTTTCTTTCTTTCAACTAGGTTAATATTTTTCATTGTGGATGTGTCATAGCAGAAATACGTGACTATAGGCAGTCTGGTAACATGAAATCTCCAACATACCAAAGCAAGCACATTCTTTTGCGTCCTACAATGCAGGTAAGAAGTGGCTTAGGTAACTTCTCAGTGTTACCATAGTTCCTAGACTGGATATGTACTATTATAGAACATATATTAAGAAATCTTATTATTCAGTTGAAAGCTAATTACCATTATGTCTTCTTCCTCAGACTTTAATTTGTGATGTGCATTCTATAACAAGTGACAACCACAAATGGACACAGGTGGGTCAGAGGTTATTTTAAAACTTTACAGTGATGTCATAAGTACACGATAAAATTAAATTATTTAAAATTTTTTATTTGTTTAATAAATATAGAAATTACTCTTTTTTTATTAATTCAAACTGTCAGTGTGTAATTTGTGCATGGTACATGCTTCAGAGAGCTGCCAAATTAAATTAATAGCATCTTTCCACAAGATGCCATAAAATACAATAGGATTTGCTAAAGATTTTGTAGAATGAGACCTTAATTTTTGGAAGTGCCAAATGACAGCCTTGGAGTGTAGTTTACCCTACTTCATTCATTGCAATGTGCAGCCCCAGAACAGCACTGGCAATCTAATGACACAATTGCTCCTCCACCTTTATTTTACTATCGATACTTTTAAAGTAAAGAGAATCCAAAGTAACTACAGTTGTACAGTTATAGTTAGTGAATTGCTGAACAGCATGGTGTACTCAATGTGGTTGTTTGCATTTCAGAGCCACAGTCATGCTCAAATATATTTCAAATTGTAATCTAAAGTCCCCGGTAGATCATATGGCACTGATTGCCAGTACATCAATATAAATCACTGACAGAAAATGGATTTCATTGCTGTGTTTAAAGCAAGCAAACAAAACTCACTCAAAAAAACCCCCAGAACATGACATCTTCTTTTCAGCATATTTCGTGTTTTTTTCCTATTGGAAACCCTACCCAAGCTCTGTAACTGATAATAATAGTTAGAGATAATGGCCCATCTTCGCGAACGAAGATTTGGGGAAAGGTCTTTTTACCTTTCCAGCCTGCGCAATGGATTTTTTAGCCTGCGCTGAACTGAGCCCACCCTTTAATCCTAAGGTTCATCTGCCGGGGCCAAGCAAGCTTGGACAATGGCAGTGAGGTCCTCAGGACGTAGGTTTGTTTAGAGTGTCCTTCTCATAGATGGATGGCCACACAGGGCTAACGACCTCCATCAGGCCAGGAGACCGGGATTTGAACCCGTGGTCGCAGCAGTGAAAGTCCTGCACGCTAACCACTAGGCCACCAGGGGTCTCAATAGTTAGAGATACTTAATTGTTGAATAGTTTCCTTTTTTGACTATCCACACACAATTTTTTCAGTTTTCTCTAAGATGATGTCCATCTCCATAGGTATATAAGAGCTTAATTAGTGTAAAAGTTTTCATATTTTAACATTTTTTTAATAGCTGTGTATATTACAGGAGGACAAACTCCTACTTGAGAGCCAACTTATTTTGGCTACAGCAGAGCCTTTGTGTCTTGATCCTTCAATAGCAGTGACGTGCACTACAAACAGACTCCTGTACAACAAGCAGAAGATGAACACTCGTCCCATGAAACGGTAGTTTTCAGTGTGAAACATTTTCAAAGAAAAATATAAATAATGCTTTATGTGAAAATTTAGCTACTCATATGAAATACTTACTGAAATATTAGGATTGTGTGAGGAACAGTCAAGAAATTATATCTTATTTTTAAGTGCTCAATATTGTACTATATTTCAGTTAGTAGTAGATACTGTAGTGTGCTTATTTTTGTATATCAAAAGAAAGTGTATATATATTTTCTCAACATAATCTATTATATTGCAGTTTGGATTTAGACTTTTTTTTCTCTATAATTTATGTGTAGGCTGAATCAGATGGCAGCTCAGTATTATAAAACACATAAATTGATATGTTGTATATTGGTCTCTGATCTGTTAAAAACTATATATAAGCTTAATCCTGAATGAGGAAATCAAGGAATTTATTTGTTATTTGATGTTCAGGCTAAAGAGAAGTGTAGGCATATCAGAATCTTGGAAAACTTGAAATTATTTCACTTTTCTGCATAGTTGTTCACTTTTTTTCCGCAAAAGCTTGAAATGATTCATATTTGTTCTGCTACAAGAGTTTCATTCACTCTGTAGAAGGGAAATGTACTAATGGTCTGGCAGAATTACCGAAATATTTAAAATTAGAAATTAGAAATATTTAAAATTGAAATACTATGCTAGTGGCAATGTCTAAAAAAGTATAAATAGTGAAATTGATCAAGCTGTCCTTGAAATTAAAGCTTGGTGGTCAACAAATATTCCACTAGAAAAATAGGCAAAGGTGTTAAATGAATGTCTAGAACAGCATTATTGTAGCAACGAGTTTGTAATGAAACAGAGGGCAATTACTGTGTTTGTAGTCACATAAGCAGTACAAAGATCTTTTGATGGAACTGAAATCTATGATAAAATACAAATATTTTAAGCTTGACAACTTCTTAATTATCCTTTTGATAATGTATTTCAATTATGCATTTAAAAAATAACCCCATTCCTAGTGCTGAAACACATGAACAGAATACTAGTATATTTTATAAATATGAAGTAAAAAGAGTTGTACAGTGTAATCTAGAAAAGCAATTTTAAATTAATATTTAAAAGCCTATTAGTCTCAGTGTAAGTAGAAGTTCTCTGCATATTTTTGTGTTCGTACACAGGCAGTGGAGAATTTCATGCTGATGGTTTTACAAGCTTGTGTCATTTTGCCATAGGTGCTTCAAAAGGTACTCAAGGTCCTCTCTGAACAGACAGCAGGAAGTAGCTCACTACTCAACTCCACCTCAGCTCAGACTACTTGACTACTTACAGAAAAGGAAGGAGAGGAAAGCAGCCCAGCTGTATGACCTCAAAATTTCTAAAGCTGGAAATGTAAGTGTTCTGAGAAGTAAGTTCGTATGCTTCTAACTATTTCATTAAAACATTTAATACATTAATCCTGCTTTTTCATTTTCCAGTGCGTAGATATGTGGAAACAGAACCCTTGCTACTTGACTGCCCCTTCTGAAGTAGACGTAAGACCAGTTACCATTAGCAATTATTAGCAATTGTATTGAACATTGTATTATATGAAGAAAGACTAAAGAGTATCCAGTATCAAAGAAAAAATGGGATGACTTTACTGTTTACAGTTTTCTGTACCATAAGGTATAAACACAAGTGAAGCCATGCTGCAATTGTAACAGAATAGTTTGTATGAGGTAAACAGTACAACTGTTACTAATTTTCTTCTGTGGGTTCAATGAGCAAATGTCTATTTGAAGTTGTTTGACAATATAAAAACCAGAAAAACAAATGAGGTTTGTAGATTATTTAAAAATTAGTCACTTCTTGTCTTGGTAGAAACTCCTCTCTTTCGATGCGTTACAATACTATGGCACATGAATATTTTGAGAAGTTTTGATTTTTATAGAGAGAATTCTAGTTGAGAGTTCTTTTGATCACTCTGTGTGCATTCGTCTCTCTGGTACTGTTAAAACACATACTACCAGTGTACAGAAGGGACTCATAGAATCATAGAATATCATGAGTTGGCAGGGACCTACAACAATCATCATCTCCTGCAGCACATGACAACCCCAAAAATCACACCAAGTGTCTTGTTCAAACACTTGAACTCCATCAGGCTTAGTACTGTGAACACTTCCCTGGGGAGCCAGTTCCAGTACCTGACCACCCTCTGGCTGAAGCAATTTTTCCTAATATCCAACCTGAACCTCCCCTGACACAACTTCAGACCATTCCCTGGGGTTCTGCCACTGATCACCACAGAGAAGAGATCAGTGCCTGCCCCTCCTCTTCCCCTCACGAGGAAGTTGTAACTGCAATGAGGTCTCCCCTGTCTCCTCCAGGCTGAACAGACCAAGTGACCTCAGCCACTCCTCATACGGCTTCCCCTCAAGGCCCTTCACCATCTTCTTGTCCCTTCTTTGGACACTCTTTAATAGCTTTATATCCTTGTTATATTGTGCCCAAAACTGCACACAATATTCAAGGAGAGGCCGCACCAGTCCAGAGCAGAGCGGGACAATCACATCCCTCGCTCTTTTGCTGTTTAACATAGCAAATATGATGTAACACTATAAATGTCAAGTTCTGAAGATTCTCCAATTTAGTTTTTCTGAATGCATAAAATAGGGGATTCTTTCTTTTCTGATCTCTCTGTTTTCTGTAAGGTGGAGAAATATGCCAAAGTGGAAAAGTCTATCAAGCCTGATGACTCACAACCAGCTGTCTGGCCAGCACATGTGAGTAGTTTAGACCTTAGGCCAAACTTCGCTGTCTTTAGTTAAAATGCCTCTTATTTCAACAAAATTAAAGTAGCGTAGGAATAATCTTCTCTGCCCAAATTTAATTAATCTTCCATGTTATATAGACATGGGAAGATTACCAGAGATACTTTTGATTTTCTACAGTACAGCAAGCATGTTATCAGTCTTGTAATTTCCTAAGGTTTCCCAGAAATACAATGAAGAGCAGCTTCCAGTAAAGAAAGCATAATAATTTACAGGGAGCAGTACTCTGCTCAACAAATTCCTTTCTTTACTCAGACAATCAAAGGGTGATGGAAAAGAGCTTCAGTTAAAATCAAAATGTTAAATTTTGAAAGAGATTAGTATTAAATGCCTCTTACAAAAAGCTCTTTCTGCAATATGTAAGTTGAACCTTAAGATTTTTGGCACAAAATACGTTATTTGATAAGAAGTAGTAATTTAATATAATCAGCCATAGATAATTGATTATTTTTTTATAATTTTAGAGACAAGATACTACCTTTATTAACAGCATGTATCCTGATGTCTTCATAGTTTCATATTGGAAAAAAGTAATACTTTCCCACAGAACTTATTTTTCACTCCCAACATTTTACTCTGAACATTTTTTGCATTGTCATAATTTATATAATTTATATATTTATTTATATGTTTACCCAGTCTGCCTTTCCATGTCTAACATAATTGTTTAGGTTTTGCAATATCTTTGTGTTTTTTAAGAGATGATAAACTCTTTTTCCTTTCATCCCTTTAGATAACTTACTCTCAAATCACTTTCATTTCAGATAATGCACTCCTTTCTGTAGAGTTTTACTTACAGAGTTACTTATGGAATGTTTCTTACCATACTGTATATAGAGCTGGTCTGTTTTACTCACTGGTTCTGCTAACAATTGTTCAAGACTTACTTGGTTATTTTCTTCTCTCTTTTTAGGAAATAAAAGATGATTATGTGTTTGAATGGGAAGTTGGTAATCGGCTTCAAAAAACAAAGCTGACCATTTTCCAGTCTCTTGGCAATCCCTTGTACTATGGTAAAATTCAGACACTCAAAGGTGATGAGGAAAATGACAACCTGTTAACTCCATCACAGTAAGTTACATGCTCTTTTAAACTGTGCTGCGATCTGATAGATGAAGAAACACAACAGTGTAAAAACAACCACCAACAAACACAATCCATGAAAATTCTGGAGACACCATGAGACATTGTTGCACTCTTTTTTAGTGTTATTCAGAATTTTGATTGTTCTTAAAATTTCCCTGATGCTGTGAAAACTTAAGACTTGACTATATTCTGTTTACCCTTAGGCAGAGAAATTTAAGCTAAATAAATGAAGGAAGATGTAAGCTTCTAAGAAGCTTTTTAATTTTGAATTGGTTTGAATATACTGGTTTTGGCTGTGTTTCTACAAAGATTTTCTGTTCTTGGCTCTTTTTGTTGTATGTACCAGATTATTTGTATGGAGGAACCTGTACAGCAGCGTAGAACCTATAAATTTCAGTAAGGCAAGGCGCAGTGAGCCTGAGCAAACTTTTTAGTTCTGCTAATGAAAATTTTTTTATTGTCTAGTATGTAATTCCTCTCTTATTTTTTATCCAAATCTTAAAACATCTTGAGTATTAAGAATATTTTATCCATAGACTTGAGCTATTTACGGTTTGTTTCCTTACTGTTGTGGTTTAACCACAGCTCGCAACTAAGCACCATGCAGGCACTCCCTCTGCCCCTCTTCCCCTTGCCTCTCCAGTGGGATGGGGGAAAGAATTGGAAGGGTTAAAAGTGAGAATTGAGATAAAGACCATTTAATAGGCAAAGGAAAACCCACACATGCAGGCAAAGCAAAACAAGGAATTAATTCACCACTTCCCATGGGCAGGTAGGTGTTAATCTGTTTCAGGGAGAGCAGGGCCCCATCATGCCTAAAGGTTACTTGGAAAGACAAATGCCATCACCCTAATTACCCCCTCCCCACTTTTCTTCCTTTTTCCACTGGCTTTATAGGCTGTGCATGACACAGTATGGTATGGAATATCCCTTTCTTTGGTCACTTGAGGTCAGCTATCCTTGCAGTATCACTTCCTATCTTTATGTGCACCTCAAGCCCTCTTGCTGGTGAGAGACAGAAAAGAACTTTGTAGGTACTGCTCAGGAATACCTAAAACACCCATGTATTATTAACACTGTTTTCAGCCCAAATCCAAAACACAGCCCTGTATCAGCTACTATGGAGAAAATTAACTCTACCCCAGCCAAAACCAGCACACATACTTATAATTTATCTTCCTAGAACAGCAGTGCTAGCTTAGAGTTGTGTAATAAGGCTGGGAATTAAATGATTTAGAGGTATTAGGTGCCTAGGGGGGTGTGTGGAATTCATTGCTAAGACATTGCCAATTAAACTTCATCAAAACTTGGATAATTCCTCATTAGCAAACTGTCATACAAAATAAAAGGTGAAGTAAACAGTTCTGTTGTTCAGTAAAATAAAATGATATTTTTAATTTTTTTTTTTATTCTTGGACCTGGAGAAAGAGAAAAAAATGTTTAAAAAAAATCTCTGCAGTAATAAGTTTGCAAGCCATAAGTTTTATGCAAAAGAGGAATACTTATTTAGGAGGGCTGGAAAATCACAGGGAATTGGAATTTGCATAAGTAAAATCAAATAATGGAAACTAAATATTTGCTAAAATATTAATGGGTACGGCTGCTTTTGACATACCCTCAGGACAGTTATATTTCAGTGTGAGCATGTTGATATGTGGTTGATTTATACATAACTTCGTACTTTTTACAGTAAGAATTCTGTAGCAGTTATGTCCATTTCTTTAAAAATATAAAATCCAAAACTTCCATATTCTGTCTTTTGTTTTGTAGGTAATTTACTCCTAAAAGAGACCATATTAGACCATGTGTGTATATTGTATATATAGTTAGGAATTCAAGTATGTATTTCAAGTACTGAATAATACCCAGTCCATTGAATGGATACATTATCGCTTGTATTTTGAGCAGGTCTCAAAAAAAGGCAGCACTGACATTTCTTTGAAGTCTTGTGATTATAAAAATATGATCTTTTAGTCCAGTTCATGACTGCAAATGTATTTTACATTTTAGGTTCCTTATTGGTTCGAAGACTGATGCTGAAAGGTAATTTAATATAATATGTACAGCCATTTGGTGTGGTGCCAAATAATGAATTTTATTCCTTTTAACCATTTTGACTGCTAATGTTATAGTTTTGGAAATAGATGCAGAACAGATGAGGAGAAAAAAGGAATTAATCATCATAACAAGAAGTAGAATCTAGTGTGTAGTTTCTGTATTTAAGAAGCAAGGAAGAATAGAGGAAGTCAAATATATGATTACAGCTTGTTGTGCTACCTGAACTCTGAGAGCGCTTAGCAGGAATTCCATCCTGACATTTTGTATGGTAAATTACCAGTCATGGAAGTGGTTCATTTGAACTTTTCATTTGAAGTGTAATCTAGGACTTAAGATTTATACAACTTACTTTTGTGTGTTGTGCATTACTTGATTCAGCTTTCCTAAAGAAGGAAGTAATAAGACAGTTTTTCAGTATATTTTAGTCATAGAATGAGTAGGAGTAGCAATTCAGGGATAACAGGCAGCAAAATAAGTGTTTTTTCAAATGTTTGTCAGTGTGCATCACATAAGATACCTGTGCGTATGAGCACAGAACCTTTAAAAAGCAAGCTCTTGTCAAAGCCAGTTGTGTTTTTGTGCCTCCATAGGATACTTCGAGCTGATGTACATGCCATAGCTCTTATCCCTATCTTATATGTGTGGCAGGGAAATGAGTCTTTGATTTGACCAAAATCAGTAATCATGTTCTTTTTTTAAATAGGTAATTTTGATCAAGAAACCCTTTGCTTATATTCTCTCCTGCCTCCTTTGTGCTGATACTTTTGCTGTTTGTTCTGTAAGCTGAACTGGGGGATTGGCTGGCTGAAAACTGGCACAACAATAATACAAGGGCCTAGTTGTAACTGGGATTGGTTTCATGATCCTGCTTGTCACTTTGTTGCACAAGTCCTTCTATCAGAATAAGCAGTTGGGTTTCAGGAACTAGGACAAGATGCAAGAATACAGGAGGGCAGGACCACCTCTTTGAATACATGGCATTTTACTGCTCTTAATTCCACTGTAATTTTAAGTTAGTCTGAATTCTAATTGCTGAAAAAAGTACACTGCACTCTTTCCTCTGTCGTGTATCTCGGGGCCCTTGCTTAGGTCTGCATTAGTCAAGTAACAGCATATTACAGAATCAGTACATAGAGATATAGTTTTTATATATGCGCATATCTATTGTATATAGAGAGATACTTACATAATATATAAAATATATGACCATAACATATACAATTATGTGTTTATATATATGTATCTACTTTAGAAGTTAAAAGTTGTTAACCTTTTTATGTCCTCATTGTTTGTTTCAGGGTCATGAACCAGTATCAGGAGTTAGTACAAAGTGAATCTAAATGTCCTGTGAAAATATTTCATAATTCAAGTGGATCAGTCAATCTTAGTCATCTTTCTCCAGGGAAGGAAATGGAAGTGAGTTTATTGAGCCACACATTTTTTATTTTCCCTTGATTATCGAATTATTAGAATTTCAAAGATTTCTTTGTTTGTTTCAAAGAGTATTTTGAGTTGTAAGGGACCTACAAGGAACATCAACTCTTAAGTGAATGGCCCATATGGGGATCAAATGCCATGACCTTGGCATTATTAGCATGTGCTCTAACCAACTGAGCTGATCTCAGGGTAATTTTTGCTATCCACATTTCAAAGTAAAATAACCTAAAAATGTCATCCTGAATGAATTTTTAAATGTGTTGTGGTCATGATCATTCAATGTGATTATATTGGAAAAGTTAAAGGAAAGCATTTTTGTTTTCAGTGTTCAAGTGTTGTCTTTTAGGGGGTTCAAGTGTTGTTTTGGGGTTTTTTTGGCTGCGTATAGTGTAGTTATCTCCAAGGTTTTGTTTTAGCATTTTCCCCTGTTCAGATGATCCTTTCACAGAGCAGTATAGTAAAATGCAGCTATGTGTTTTATTTTGCAGGTCAGTGAACACAGAAGCAGATGGAGTACCTATACTTTTTACCTTTAGAAATTAAAATGATTTTCTCTTTAATTTGAAGAGGAAAACTTAAAGAAAAAAACAAAATAAAAAAAAAAACAAAACAAAACAAAAAATAATAAACCATCCCCCCCCAACAACTTATATATTTTTGTATATTTGCATGCACAAACACTTCTACATTTACAGTATAAATTCTTGCATTCCCAAATTTTCCTGCCTGTTGGCATTGTCTTGTGTTTTACATGCTGCTTCTGGCTTTGTTGGTCAGATTCAGTACTTTAGCTGTATTTAGGCTCCAAGTAGTAAATGAGATTTGTATCTGTTAGGCTATTTCCTTAGCGACATCTCTCCCCTAAACACCTAGTTTTAAAATCCAACAACATTGCTGTGAAAGAGGTAGTTCTTGGTGTCAGCCGGACCAGCAGCATTCCAAGGCCAGCAGCTGCAGAAAGGGATATGAATGTTTATGTGTATACACATACAGGCATGTACTTGCACGTGTGTATATATGCATTAAAATCATATAATAACTTCGAGTGGGAGGGTACTTGCAGAAGTCATCTTGTCTGCCTGTGCAAGCCCCCACCAAAATCTGGGCCAAAGTTACTCAGGTTACTGCATTCAATGATCTAGTCAGCTTTGAAATGGGGCATTAGTCTTTATTTTCAAAACAATTAGAAACACATTACTGAGAATTAGTGGAAGCTAAGCTTACCAAAAAGGGTGATTCTGCACAATGCAGAATGATCTGATTTCTCAACCCATACACATGTAATTTAGGCTCCAGAATTGAAATATTCCATTCACCATATCAACAACCTCATTTGCTAGTTCCAGCAGTTTGTGGGCTGTATGTTTGTTTAGACATTACTTTCATTTATGGAAAAATACATATAGGTAAAAATTTTATAGGGAAAAATTTATAGGGAAAAATACATAGACTATATATAATTGTAAATATGTTTCATTCTTGAGTTTTTTGACAGTGTCAGCTATTGGAATTATGGATTTAGGGTCTGTTGTGAGGGACTGCGAACTACAGACTCAAGTAGCTGAAGTTAATTTATGTTCAGACAGCCTGACTAGTAGATTTTAAGAACAAATAAAAAGGGAGCATCTTCCCTCTAAAAACATGAATGAAGTTTTGATGCCACTGAAGCCAATGGGGAAATGTGTCTTGATTTCTGTGCATTCAGGATTTTACTGCATGTATTTAAAATCCCACTCCTAGAATCAGGAATTCTGATCCTGTTCTTTAAATCTGTCTTGGTTGGAAATGGCAGATATATACAGAGTGAATGAATGAAATTATGTAACTTTTCAAGTAAAACCAAAGTGTTCTTTTACTTCAAGTGCATTTATCATGCTTGCATTTGGGAAAATTACTAAGAAGGATTTCAGAATTATGGAGAAAAGTGAAAATCCTCAATTACTTTAATTTTTTTTTTTGCTCAGTTTAAATTTTTACCAACACTTTCATGCTGCTTCTTGATGGTAAACACTTTATCTAAAGGGAGTTGGTTATGTTTTTTAAAATAAATATATAAAAATCTGAAATGTTTGAAGGGAATTTTGGCATAGTTTTGGGGCGTCTTAGTACAAATTAATCAAATTGTCTTTTCTGTCAACTATGTGGAAGCTCACATCATTGCTGTGGTAGTGTTAATTTCTCTTTCCTCCCAGCAGCCAGAAAGTATATCAGGCTCTGTTCAGTCTTCAGTGCTGGGGAAAGGTGTAAAACACCGACCTCCTCCTATCAAATTACCTTCAAGTTCAGGAAGTAGCTCTTCAGGTAATTATTTATTGACTCCAGCATCTCCTTTTTACATGTTCTGCCTGTTGTCATGATCATCATCATCATGGCTAGGCTTCGCGAATGAAGCGTGCTGGTGGCTAAATAGGCCAGTGCGAGATAGACAAGTCTGGTTGCAAAAGGCACAGCAGAAAGACTCCTTAGGTGGTATCAACAGGACATGGTTCTTTCTGCGTTGTCTTTTCTCGTTGAGAGTGATCCTGCGTGCTTTCTCAAAAGCATCAGCTGCGTTATAGATAGTGTGTCTCCAGACTTCCCGATTGGAGGCCAGAGTAGACCAATGATGATGATCAATATGGCCAAGGCTGAGATGTTGTTTCAGGGAGTCCTTGTATCTCCTCTTTGGGGCTCCTCTCTGCCTGTTCTAAAATTACAGGATATCCCTTAGTAAAGATTTAATTAAAAAAATACAGTATCTTATCTGTGAGAAGAGCATAATTTTTTTGATGTCTGATTATATTGGTTACAAAATTGTAATCTTACAAATATTTGAGTTAATCTGTTCTCACAGAACAATAATGTATTTTAATTATGCTTTTTCAGGTAATATTTTTAGTTCACAACAGTCAAGTGGCCATCTAAAATCCCCAACTCCTCCTCCTTCTAAGCCTGCTGGTCTTTCTCGGAAACAGTCTATTGATCTTAATCAAGTTAGCATGCTCTCTCCAGCTGCCATGTCTCCTGCAAGCTCTTCACAAAGTGAGTCACGACCTAAGTTCTCCATTAAATCTTAGGCTTTTGCATAAATGCTTCCTGAGATACACTTCTTAACCTGTGGAATGATGAAACTTAAGTGTACAGTGTATCCTAAATTGTATAAGTTGTGCAGCTGTAGATAGGTCTCTTGTTCACTGTATGTACTTCTGTTTATTGTAACTGTGTTCATGTTCTGTATATATATGTATGCACCCTCTGTGTATACGTTTAATACTTTTTGTGCAATTGACGTGATCTCCTCATATATGAAAGGCTGGTAGATGATGTGATGAGATAAAATTCCAAAGTGTAGATTTTTGTCCGCCAGTGTAAAAATAGTATGTTAGATCAGTTTGCCTTTCCATAATTTAAGCATCTGGTTTATTAAATGTTATAGGAGCTGGTGCAGTTGTGTATCTATGTATGTATATAATCTGATCAGTCCCAAGGTGATGATACAATAAACGATAAGATGATTTTTTAAAAACACTCCTACACTGTTTTACAGATCATTGCTGATGGCAAGTGTGGTGGTGATGATGGTGATGATAGCACCATATGCTCAGGTGTTAAAATGCAAATTTCAACCAGAAGCGATGTCCTAGTTTAAGTATTTTCATTATCACTGACAGGTTCATTGTAATCATAGCTATAGATCATAATTTTTTTTTTAAATATGTGTGTGTCTTGAGCTATTTCATGAACAGATTTGTACAAAGAGGAAACCATAGCTGCACTTTCTCAGTTTTCTTACGAATAATTTGCGCTGCACATTCCAGTATCCTGCACAGTATTATAATATGCTTTTTGCATTAAATAATTTAAAAACTGGGTAGCTCAAAAGGTGTAACTTTTCTGCCTTTCTGTTTTGCACAAAGAAAAAAAGAAGAAAACTTATAAAAATTTTCTTCTAACATATTGACTCTGGTTTTATGTTAGTGCTATGAATTGTGTAAATCTACTGCACACAGTTGTTACGTTAAGGCTCTGGTCACCATTCGCATTTATTTCTTTCTGCAGGACATGAAAGCTAAAAAAAAAAAAAGGAAAACAAAAAAAACCCGTTTAAGTTTTTTGGGGGTTTTGTTTTGTTTTTCTATTGATAAACTTTGGCTACTGCATCCACAACAAATACAGCTGTATGTACTACATTTAAGCAGAAGGAATTACCCAGTAGCTTTTAAAGATGCAGTATTATCCTCTGGTTCTTAAATAATTGCTTTTTAGTTGATCAAAATTTGGCAAATGGCAGTTTAACTATCTAATGAAATTTAGATCAGCCCCATGATGATTGAAATAGTACATGTTCTTTGTTGACTCTGTTGTTTTCCATTATATATTTTTAACACTGTGCTATTGTGGAGACAGTGCATATGTAGTATTTGTTTAACAGTTTAGAACAAAAACTTTAATTAGGTTAAAGTGGTCACTAAGAAGTTGTTGTAAGTATTCCTGAATGGAGTTATGACTTAATGTACAATAAATTATAGAAGCCTTAAAGGAGGATACAAATCGGTGTATGCCGTAAGGAATGAAGCATGGAGAGTGGGCTTTCTTTGTAATTATACTCCATCCTTAACAATAAGCGTGTGCTGCAACACTTGTGCCATGTAGAAATTAACACTTGCAGTCTAAAAACCAGAACAAATTGACAATGCTAAGTAAGATTCCATTAACCTTATTATACAAAAAAGATTGGCCTTTTATAACAAACCAGCACTTTTTATTTTTCTCAATGAGCAGGGTCTGGAACTCCTAAACCATCTACTCCTACTCCAACCAACAACCCTTCATCGACCCCACACCCTCCTGATGCTCAGAGCTCAACTCCTATTACCCCTTCTGCCACCCCTACTCCCCAAGATTCAGGCTTCACCCCTCAGCCCACTTTGTTAACCCCGTTTGCTCAGCGGCAAGTGTCTCTGAGCCAGACACTGCCTGTAATGACCATTCCTCTTTCTACCATGGTAACATCCATTACTACAGGAACAACCTCCACCCAGGTCATGGAAAACCCTACAGGACTTAACTTCATCAATGTAGTGGGCTCTGTGTGGTAAGTCTTTTGTTATGATGGTTTCTTAATTTGCCATGGGTTGGTTGGTGGGAGAGGGAGAGTGGTCCAGGACTGTCCACAATCCATTAGGGTAGATATATTTCAGGATCTGCAATACAATAAGATGACTCACTTTGTAATTATGAAGTGAAGAGCCACTACAAACTGTATTTCTCAAACAGAAGGCACCTACTACTGGAATATTGAAAAGGTCTATTAAGAAAGACCTTTATTACTTTAATCTTTTGGGAGTCATACAGGTCAATCTCTTAAGGCTTATTCTCAATTAGTTGGTTTCGGAGGTTTTGCTCTTAAAGTTTGAAAACTTATATTAATCAGAGAGGACGTAGAATACCATATGCAGACCGATTCAAACGAAAAAGGGAAACAGGTTTGTTTCGATCAATTTAAAAAAACATTGAGGTTAAACATTCTTTGATCCTTAAAACTCATTTTATGGTTTAAAGAAAACAATAAATGCTGTCAACAATAGATTGTGTGGTATAACATGAACTGCTTTTCAGACTAAATGAAATTCTGTAATTAAGATAGTCAGTGTAAGACACATACTGTGCTCCAGTGCAAGTATCAGACACTTGAATTATTCATTGAAGGTGTTCAGCAGTTGATCGCTGTTGATAAATTGGGGATATTTTTTATAGGGCAAAAAGAAAATGCAAACCTGTTCCTTTTATGGTAGTACAACGATTTTGAAGACTGTTGATCTTTTAGTATTTCTAGAATAAAAGAACTGCTTGTGGTTTATTTTCCTTAGCTGATACCATAGAATTAAAAAAACTGTATATGCTGAGAATATGGAACATATATGTTATACTCTAGCATTTTTTTTATGCTGCATTGATGCTTTATCCATAATCCCATTTACAACCAACAATTGATTTACTTGCCATGAGACAGAGGGAAAAAATGTAGTTACTCAGATTCACTTGTGCCACTTGGGATTGATGTGTTGTCTTTCCTCTTCTACAGTGGAGCACAGTCACTGATGAGTGGTTCAAACCCTATGCTGGGGTGCAACACTGGTGCCATAGCCCCTGCAGGTATAAATCTGAGTGGCATTTTACCATCAGGAGGTCTGGTACCAAGTGCGCTGCCCGCTCCAATGCAGTCTGCCTCTCAAGCAGGTCAGTGTGACTCAGTTGAAAAGCCACCCTTCAGATAGGGACAGTGTGGGAACATTTTGTCAGAAAAATGGACAGAAGTGGCCATTGTGTGAATAGATTGTGTATTTGATGGCTGGAGCTCAGAAATAACATATGTGTTTTTGCATTCAAAGTATAGACTATGTTGGAGGTTGTTTGAAGTTGATTTTTGGTGAGCTAGACTGGGGATACACACTCAAAACCTGGATTGTTTGGTATACTCAGTAGAAAGTTTGAGAGAAACCCCAAATTCAAATGCAACTTTGATAATGATGACTGCCAGATAAAGGGCATGACTGAACTTGGAAAGAGGCCTCACTTTTTAAATGTGTGAGGCATTTTATTCTGTCCCTGGTATTCCTTTCTTCCAGTACAACAATTAAGTGATTTCTTCTTGTCTTCAGGTGTGACTGTATAAATCTTAAAAGCCCAATTTAAATTCTCAGTTTATTTTTCTGAACGTATAATAAAGAAAAAAAACCCTGATGTATGATTATGGAATTAGAATGATAGGAGACTTCAAGTTATCCATCCCTTATGGTAAGACAGCCAAATCTGTCTAAACCGTACAGAACCAATGTTTGTCTAAATTCTCTTTAAATACCTTCACTAAAGAAGATTCCAGTCTTCCTCAGTAGCTGTTTGGATAGTTTATTATCCGTGCAAAATGTTTCCTTCTAATTACAGTACATCTCCTTAATTGCAAGTTATTTTTTTTCTCCTATACCTTTCAGACATGAAAAATGGTCGTTCACCCTTTCTCTTTACCTTCTAAATATCAAACATGCTGTCATGTCCCACATTTGTCTTCTCTTTCTGATAGGTCATATTTTTCAAACCTTTCATAATCCTGTCACTCTCTTCTAGACTGTCCAATTTGCTTACATCCTTCTTAAAATGTGATAACCAAAACTGGACACAAGCCTGAGCTTGGCTGATTTACTACTGTGGAGCACAGCAGAATAAATGCATCTCATCTCTTTCACAACATTCCTGTTAACATGTCCCCAAAAGAGGTCTGCCTATTTTTTGTCTGTATTTTTTGCAACAGCATTACATTAATGTAAGAATGGCTTTACTGGTTTAGGCCAAAAATCCATCCAGTTTATATTCTGTCTCTGGCAGTTGCCATTAGAGGATACTGAGGAAAGAGTTTAAGATGAGGCAAAAGTGTGAAGTAAAACATCCCTTCTCTACAGCTGTACCTCTTCTGGCAATCTACAGCTTTGAGACTTTCTAAGCTGAAGAATATCCACATGAATCTTTGTGCTTAATATCCCATGCTAGATTTCTAGTCTGTGGATTTATCTAATTGGTTTCTGAACCCATTTATATTTCTGGAACCTACAGCATCTTGTGACAGTGAATTTTATAAATGTAAACTCTCTGAAGATGTTCTTTTGTGTGCTCTGTAGTTTGAGATATGGATGATTTGGATATGTTTGTGACTTACTGTAACTTCTCATCCTTTTTTGCTGTATAGACACAAAGCTAGTTACAGTTTTGTACTCGTTCATTTGTCTTTTTTAAATTCAGTGCTATTCGATTTTGGACCATTTGTTCAATTCACTAGGATTGCTTTTAGTCTAATTCTGTCCTTTCAAGCACTACCAGCCTTTACCGGTTTGGTGTCACAGATTTTTCCATGCTGTGCTGTCACCCACACAACACATGGGAGTAGTGAACTCAGCTGGGTCTGTGCGAGACCTCCAGGGGTTCTGCTTGATAGTTGCTGGGTTACTGGAGAGTTGCTCAGATTTTGTGTGGGATTGTTTTCTGTTAAAGACTGATAAACTGAGAGTGTGTTACTTCATTAAGACCATGGACTTTTTTGGATTTACTGTACAAACAGTAAAAGTTTTTAAAGGCAGAAGAAGAATCACGGAAGAGTAACTGCTAAGGTGTTCTCCTTTCACCTTTTTGTAAATGCATTAGCAAGTTATAGGTTACAGGGTACAGTGTTTAGTAGCAATACAGCTCTCTTGTACTGTGAGTCTGAATAACTATGAACTTAACATTATGGAAAATGCAGCATTGTATTAAGTATAAAATTTACACTTGCCAGTTTTCCAACTTCCAAATGTTTAGAAATAGTCCCCATGGAAAGGTGTATTGCAATACACAAATATAACTGAGTGAAGACTCCCTACTAATGAAAAGATGTTCTCTTTAACAGGCAGCCCCTTTGGTTTGAAAAATACATCAAATCTTCGGCCCTTAAATCTTCTACAGGTAATTGATATTCTTGGACACAATAAGAATGATAATTTCTTATCTTTCTATAGAGACCTGTTTACTGCACTGCCCCATACAGATCTTTGGAGCCAGTTGGTCAGACCATTTACTGCAAATTTTAATGGCTTATTTAAAATGCTTAGAATAGGAGAAAAAGCTACTTCCATAGAGATACCAGGTGGAAATTATATTCCTAGCTCAGAACAAAACAGATAATTTTCAGTAACAATGTAAAAATACTGACATTTGAATTCGAAAGATTAATCCCAAAATACAATCTTCTATTTTCAGGATTTGCCTAAGCTTTTATTGCAAATCATTCTCTATACTGAAATTATGATTATACTGTACAAAACAGTACAGTAGAATCACTCAGGGGTTACACACAGAATGCTTAAAAGCTGAGCTCAGCATGCCCAGGTAGGTACAGTAATAGGTTTAAAGAGCTTCTGGTAAGGGAAATAGAAGCTCATGAAAGATAGGGAGTTTAGAAGGTCTGTAAATGCTTTCTTTCCACTAAGCATACATACAAATACAAACATGAGCAGAATATTGCTTATTATGTCAGAGTCGCATTTAAAAGCAGAACAGGGACTGTTTGTGGAACTGGGTGGAGTTCCCAGATCTTGAAGTCAGCTGCCATTTACAGGTGCAGAATTGCAGCTACAGTGTTCCATGTGTGTTGCACCATGCTTCAAGAAGTTATTATCAGTAAAGAGAGCTGTAGTTTTGCCACTTCCTCCTCCCATTCCTGTACACACTCCAGAAACATGGAAAAGTGAGGCACAGGAAGCAATTATGCCAGAGTAGAGCTCTTCTACAGATCTAAATGCTTGTATTTTTGTGATTCCACATTGAAGTACATTCTTTCAAGCTAGCTCTGCCACTCATACACATCAAGAATATTTGGCTGAAATCAGTGCAATTAAAGCTGGGGTAAGGAAAAGGAATCAAGGCCGTCTCACTATCTATTAAAATCCAGTGAAATATTCTGAAAGTGGAAATAGTATGCAGGGCTTTTCAAGGCTAACATTTACATTTTCAGTATCAGTACAGTATCTGCTGTTTTGATTAGAATCATTAAAATGTATTTTTCTGCAGATATATCTCACTATAATTTCACACAGGTTTGTTTTGGAAACATAAGACTTTTTCACAAACAGCAGCAACTGTAAACTTATTGATTTTAAAGGAATTAAAAAACAAAACAAAAAACAAACCTCTAGGGAGTACGTCATTATCAATGTTATGTTCATCCTATAGTAGTGGGAAACTCAGCAGTTTGATTGAATTATGCCTTTTGTTTTTAATCTTTAACAGCTTCCAGGTCCTTCACGTATTTTTAACCCACTCCAGCAGCAGCTATCACAGTTTTCTCCACAGCAACGATCTCAGCAGCCTAAAACCTGTAGTCCTCAGCAACAGGGAGAACAGGTGTGTGCTAACAGCCCTCAATCTGGGGTGCATGGATGAAACAGTTTCTCCTCTTCTCCCCATCTTCACAAGTAAATGAGCCTTCACCCAACAGATCTGTAGCAGAGGAGGAGGAAAGTCTTCCTTCTAAATATTCTCAAACAGCAAAGACTGCAGTGGCTCTGTTACTATGGCTGGAACTGGGTTATAGTTCTTTATTTGTAGAAGAGCTGTAACAAAACAACTAGCTGAGCACTAACTCTATCACAAAGAGAGCCAGCCCACTGTATGAATGGTGTAAAATCAGCTTAGTGTTAATGTTTATCATAACTAGCAGATACATCAGATGAATAGAGAAAAAAATGATGTCACAATTATTACAAAGTTAACTAAAACTTCCTACTTACACTGCTGTGAGCTGGCTTACAATCCTCACTCCTGTAGTTCAACGGAATTTTCTTTGCACCAGAGGAAGTATCAGTTGGCTTTAAAAGCTGTAATCTTAAGCCATTTGCTCTACTGCTGCCTGTAATTGGTGTTGAAGGCTTTAAGCATTGAAAAAGTCTAAAGTCTTGATTGAGACCTGTTCTCAAAATGACAAATTTTAAGTGGTTACCTGCACTTAAAAATCTTTACCAACCTGATGCAGCAGTTTGGGAAAACTAGCTGCTCTGCTTTTGTGTTCATCTTCCCAGACATGCAAGACTTCTGCTTATCAAGTAGTCTCTACTGGATACTGAAGTTTGTCATAATAATTTCACTTGTGCTACTGTAGACCTTTCATAAACAAGATGCCTGTCTCAAATGTTTTATGGTGTATAGTCTCCTGTGTCACAGGCCTTGTTCTGGAATGTGGGACAGTTCAATGGGAAACTTTCAGATTTGTTCACAGCATCCAGATGTCTGAATGTCAGTTACTGGTTCAATTACTGAAAAAAATCATGCTAGCTCATACTGTTGGGTTTTATAGTCTAGACATTGAACATCAAGGGCATTTACAAAAAGGCTGATGTAAGCTTAGTCTTTCTTGTGGCAGAAAGTTCTTCTGGAGGAAATCAATCTCTGCATTGGCTAAATTGCCCTAAGGAACTTCTCTCTTACTGTGCATTGTAGAGGGAAGACTAGGGGGTCGTTACCTAAAATGAGCTATTATGAACATTAGATCCCTTACCTTTCATAAGGACAAGAATGTATGTTCTCATGGTGCTTAGTGGAAAGAAACTAAAGCCTAAAAAGACAATTTTCTTGGCTGCCAACAGAATATATGCATTCTCATCTCATTCTTAGGGTTTTCCCTACAGGGTGGTTCTGTGACTTTGTAAGTCTTAGTCATCATTGAGGTGATGGTGTCTTCTTAATGTGCAATCTTTTGGTCTGTTTTATTTAGATCTTAGTGGCATTATATCATATGGTTATGCTAAAGAAGCATCACAGCTCCTGGAATGCACCAGCTCTTTATCTGACTGATAAGCCATGCAGTTTGCTTGGATTGTGAATATAATTTCCCTATGTTATAAATTGATGCATAATTTAAGTTCTGAGACCCCTGGTGGCCTAGTGGTTAGCGCGCAGGACTTTCACTGCTGCGACCACGGGTTCGAATCCCCGGTCTCCTGGCCTGATGGAGGTCGTTAGCCCTGTGTGGCCATCCATCTATGAGAAGGACACTCTAAACAAACCTACGTCCTGAGGACCTCACTGCCATTGTCCAAGCTTGCTTGGCCCTGGCAGATGAACCTTAGGATTAAAGGGTGGGCTCAGTTCAGCGCAGGCTGTGTCTCACCTAAAAAATCCATTGCGCAGGCTGGAAAGGTAAAAGACCTTTCCCCAAATCTTCGTTCGCGAAGATGGGCCATTATTATTATTAATTTAAGTTCTAGAAGAGGTCACAATTCAGCACCCTTTGACTTCAGGAGATACTGTCAGACTCCACTTACTTCATTTGAGTGATTACTTGAGAACTACTCTGTTCTGAAAATATAATTTTAAAAGCGGAGTTTGTATTTTTTATGAAATTAAGGAGTGTGTGGCACAATATGAACATGGGAAGGTAAAATGTTGGGCTTTGCACACTTTGATTGATTAGGACCTTTGCACATGAATGGTTTCAGGGTCACCTGAAGACTCTGGGGCTGGGAGTGGGACAGGAAATAGTCATAAGATCACAGCCATAAAGTGTCGTCTCTGCTACACTGCAGGGAAGTTGACAACTACATGCGACTTCTGTGGTGTAACAGGTGCAGTACCATTTCTGCCAAAACAAAGTTGTTTTGGGGCATTCATCATCTGTTCTACTTGTAGTGACTGCATTATAGCCTGTATCTACACACACACACTGGACGACATAGCATTAAATGTTTTTAAATGGCACTTCAAAAGTTTGCCTTCACACTGGCTTTATTTGCTTATTCATTAATACCAAAGTTTGGTAATAAGGATCAAGCTTTTCATTTTTGCTAGGGGTCTGACCAAGGTCCATCCAATCAAGATCAGGCATTATCTGCCCAACAAGCTGCTGTAATTAACCTGACTGGAGTAGGGAATTTTATGCAACCTCAAGCCACAGGTATGTGCTTGCTGAGCCTCCTTTTGTAGTTAAGTGTGTATAGTGATAAATTCACACTGAAATGAAGTTTGGTCTTAAAGAAGTCATATGTTAGATCAGAACAATTTACTGATTATCAGCATGTGAATTACATGAGAAATACTGGACTTTTAACGCATGCACTTCTGTTTTGTTTGGCAGTTAAGTGCAGTCAATTAATTTTATCACATGAAAATAAGCTACATTTAATACAAAAAGAAAATGCAGGGAACTTCCATGCCAGACTTCATTGAGGAATATTGCTTTAACTCTGTGCTTAACATCCACTGTGAGAAACCTCTTTGTGTCTCCACAAGCACTTCATTATCTAATTATGTTCTGAGTATGTATGTCATGTATACCTTATTCTGCACTGTTTCCTATGTCTTCTTTCCCCAACTCTGACAAACTCAACCTGACCTCTTTGACCTGCCTGCTTTCCCGTTCTCCTTCCTCAGTGTTGTCTAAGCTTGGCTCTGCCATGAACAGACCTGGGCAAAGCCTTCCTCAGCAGAGACTCCAGCTCTCTTCTGCCCTACAACAGCAACAACAAGCCTTGCAGCATCAACAGCTACAACTAATCCAGCAACTTCACTCTGTGTTTAAAAAAAAACAAAAAACCAAAACCAAAACAAAACCCAAAAAAAACCCCACCAAAAAACCAAAACCTAAACAAACAAAAAACCCAAACCAACAAACAAACAAAAACAAACAAACAAACAAACAAACAAAAAAACAAACCAAACAAAAAAACACACACAAAAAAACCAAACCAAACCAAAAAAAAAAAAAAACAAAAACAAAAAAACCCCTACAAAACAACAAACTAAAAATACAATTCTCAGTTCCAAAATCAAAAATCTTGCCCTTTTGACTTCTTTAACTGATGTCACTATGGTCTCATAGCTTACAAACAAACAAACAAACATGAATTTGGCAAACTATCATGGAAGATTTATAATCTCTGGTTCTCTCAGCTTGGAGCACTGAATTTATTTTTGTTCCTTTAAGCCGTCCACCTTCCTGATTTGCAAACATTCAAGAGTTGCTTGTGGCACATATCTAAATCAGCTCTGCCATTTTAAAATGGCATGAATGTAAGCACCTGCAAGTTCAAATATAGCACTGCTACAGTCAGTACATGGAAGCAACAACTCTGCAAAGCATTCCGTTTACCATTCTGTCATCCAGATGCTTTATGAAAATATTTTAATATTTTTTCAGCACACAGTCTCCTCTTTGTAATATATACAGAAATTACATACAATGCATACACTGAGAAGGTATTATGTTAAAAATGTACTATGTAACCCAAACATTCACAGAAGTTGCTGAGTTACTGCAGTTACTTCAATGGAGGGAAAGGGCAAAGAAACAAAGCTGGGCACATACACATACAAAATGTTAGCTGTGCCCTCAGCAGGCTTCTGTGCCACTGGTGCTACTTGACTGTACCCATTGCCCCAGTACATGGTGTGTTCCTTTCGTCAACCTGGTGCTTCCTTATTTTTCTACCTTTCCCTCTCCCCCCGCACCTTCCTCTCATTCTTCCTGACGTGAAAGCTTTATAGTCAACACTAACAAGCTTTTTCTCCCCCTTCTCCTTTATGGCAGCAGTTGCGATTCTTGCAGCATCAAATGGCTATGGCAACGGCAGCAGCACAAGCAGCTCACCTACATCATCAACAGCATTCAGGCAGCCACTCAAAAAGTAAAAGGAAAAGAGGCACACAACCTCTCCAAAACCATGATACTTGCCTCCCCCCAAAAAATTGATTCAAAGGGAATTTTTTTCAGATTAATAACGAGAAAGCTTAAAGTTAAAATAGTGCTTTTTATTACTGGTGGGAAAATTAACTTTTGACATTACACTAAAAAAAATGAACTGATTTTGGAAGCCAACCCTACAGAACGTAGAAATTTAATCTATACAGCAGCTAGGATCTGGTTTTCTAAAGTCACTTAATTTTTTAACAGAATGTTTTATCTTGTATTTTTTACCACTCAACAGCATTGTACATAGAATAAGGGTGAAAAACATTTTAGAAAAAAATGAACTTTGTAAAGGTAGTATTGGTAATTGTTTATTTAGTATAAAAGGTTGGTGAACACTGTACAAATACAATTTTTACAAATCCATTTTTGAAAAGATCTCTCCTTTTGTTCACTTGGGTGCTATACTTTTTATTACTTTGTCAATCAGCTTCTTTACTTCTTTGTGTCTTGTAATTGGTCTGGTGATATAGTCCTGAAGCTTGGCTTCTGTAAGAGGACTTCCACCTAAAAATTAAAGGAAATAGTTTGATTTTCTACTTATACTTCAGTTATGTATCTCTAAATGTGATTTCCAAATAAGAGTATTAATACAGTAATTTTTATGACCAACGCCTTTCACCTGGGGAGCATGCAGCTTTCCCAGCTCCAGCCTCAGGCAAAGATAATGGAAACAAACTAGAGCTGTAACAGGAAACATGCTCAAAATCTGTCCTCTGCTGTATATAGGTCAAGCTGTGACTTCTTTCTGAATTTCATTCATGCCACCATCTTAAAAACTAATTTCAAGAGCAAGTAATTTAATGAGTATTTGAGCAGATGCTCTGTTACTATAAAGCACCCAAATCTTACAAAACAAAGCAGGTACATAGTCTTTTCTTGACCTAAACATTATCATCTCCATAGGTTTCTTTGTAATAAATTTGGAAGTACCTGGTTTACAGACAGAACAGAGCCTGCCTTCTTCATCAGATAATGGTTACTGTTCCAGTTGCTAAATCATCTTCTTCAGCAGTTGGATCAACAACGAATTATGTGCTTGTGAAAGAAAAAGGCATGCAGACATGTTTGTACGTATTGCTCCATTACCATTATTGCAAAACACACATAACATTAATTTTTACTGTAGTCTTACAAAATACTTGTAGATGGATTTAGTGCCCAGGCTTACCTGTTTTCTTACCAAAGTGCACCAATTTTAAAAAAATTAAAAAGTCAAAAAAATACGGGAGATTCCACATAATCAAGTGTATATGTCTATTGAAAATGCAGCTTTATGCCTGAAGTTTCCTAGAATTGTGACATCCATGTATTGCAGGAAAATGCCACTAAACTGCCATTTGAAGGATGCAGTCACTTATTTTGCAGTTACACAAAAACTGGCACAGGACATAGGCTGCACTAATCTCTACCAGACACCTTAATGCAAAACTCATTTCCAATAGTAAGTTCACCAAAGTAGTTCTCAGTTTCTTGTCAGAGAACTCTAATATCACTCAGCCTGGGAATAGTTAAAAAAATGGATTTATGGGGTGTTTGACATCCAATATAAACTGTCATACATCACAATGCATATCTTTGAGAGATTAAATACTGTTATTTTTTAACCATTTAAGTTAAAAATAGAGCAAAATCAATGGGAAACCTATAGGATCTAAACTATAAGCCAACTTTGCTCAACAAGAAAAACTAGAACTTAAAGCTGAACTTTAAAACCTCGCCAATATTTCGGATTGCCATTTAATAGCAATAGTAACAAAAACATAAGTCCTTAGCTACCTGTTCAGAAATGCTGCTTTTAAAAGTCTAACCCCATGCACTGTGACACATCAGCTCTTTGTGTGATACAGGAACACATGAAGAAGTCAATGTATCATTTATTTTTTATGTACAAGTCAACACCCAGGAGCCAGCTGTGGAGCTGCACTACATTCTGCACCAGTGCTCTTCACCCATGGCCACACTCCAGCAACCTACAGGTTTTATTTATTCAAGGAGGTCTTTTACGCAGAAGAAGAATGCCTCTGAATGCCAGAGTATGTAAAGCATTTTACTTAGAGGGCTGTGTCAACAGCTGTAGAAAAACTAATAAACCAGAATTAAAACAAACCAAACAACCACACAACACAGACACACACCCCTCGATATTTAGTTTTAGGAGCTAAAGGGGGACGTGGGTATCTTGTTGGTACAACAGTTGATTTCAGTGAAGAAAAGAGCCCAAGAGACATGCATGGAGAGCTTTCTTACAAAGGCCATTTTTTTGTCCATGTGTAAGTAAGTGTGATTTGTGTGTCTGCTATGTTACCCAAACTCTCTCACTTTCAGTCTACATAAAACTTCAGAGCCACCAGAAGTGGTATTAAAGCAATTAACACAGGCACTCTAAAGTACTGATAAAATCCTGTTCTGATTAATTTTGGTAATCACTTAGTCAACATTTGGGTTTATTCTTTCCCCACTCTACCTCTTATTTCAGTGAAAGGCCCTACTAATCACTTCTGTGAGTACAGATTAATGTGCCATAAACCACTGATGTCTCTAAATAGACCTAAATCTTAAATGGTACAGTGAGCATTGTCTTGTTTGTCATTTTCTACTTTCAAATGGATGCCACCAGAAATGACTGCATTTCTTATAAACAGCAGCAGAAAATATCCTTAACATACTTGGACTAATGAAGAGCCAGTAAACAATTTCAGGTGAGGAATAAATTGTCAGACGTGATTATTTTGAAATCTCACACTTTGATTCTTTTCCTATATGAACAATGAGTTTAGAGTGCTGGTCATCCTTCATCTTGGGTAATTATGTTTTCAGTTATCCAGAGGTTATATTGTTCTAACTGGACTGTTACTTCTTACTTCCTCTGTTGACTATGTCCTTAGTACAAGCTGTTCAAAAACTACCATCTTTTATATCAGTTATTTACATAAGCTTCTAAAACATTAATTGCATTGGTAGCATTGTTTCACCTCACGGATACTTCAAAAACCTAAAACAATACCTACTCCTGTACTTTTAAGCATATCTTTTACTTTGGGAACCAGTTCTGCTTTAAGTCACAGGAAGAAGCTACATAGACTGTGTTTTGTTCTGCATACTCATTCACATCACAGAACTACAGGTCAGTTCAACAAGAGAGGCCTGGATTTAAGATGAGTTAAACAGCACTGCCTAAGGCTGCACACTCATCACTAGAAGTGCAGAAGCATCACTGGTAGCATCCTCTGTCTTTCACTCAAACTTTTACAGACACAGTTGTTTCCATAAGTACAAAACAGTTACGCATTTATTCATCAAATACAGCAAATGATGTGGCAACTGGATGCTTTCTGATAATCAGTCTTCTGTTTTAAATTCACTTCTGATAAGCCAGTTTCTTCATTTATAATAACCGATGGCAATTGTACTGATGAAAAAATTACAGTGGTCTAACATTAAACATTGCTGGGTTTAGCAGGCCTAAGGATGTCCAAGTCTACTGAAATACTTAAGCTGTTCTTTTAACCCACCGACAATCAATCGGAATAGAGTTTTGGCTACATTAATGGTACTCTGTACAAAAAGAAATCTTGATTTCAAGCAAAGTATTTAGCTTAGGACTACCTGTTCAAGGACTTATTTGATTTTTCTCCTCAAGGTAACAGAAGCATTTCTCCTTACACAGAAGCATTTTCTATTTCCAAAATGCCATGCAATTAAAATGGTCTGGAGTCATATTTAACAAAAAGTATTTTTTCCCCACCCCAAAAAGCCTACTGGATACATAAAACCCAGGAATATAGTCTCTCCAGGTGTTACACACCTATGGCACCCATACCATCATTTCCACTTTGTGCTTTAGTAATTAAGCATTCAAATGACAGGAAACAAACAGTCCTAATGAACTGTGAACCTGTTACCTATTAATCATGATTCAAAACTAATGCATTTCTCCAAGCAACACTAATCAGAACATGTCTCCTGCTCTATGGAAGACTTACCATTTTTTAATGCTGCTAACAAAGCAAAGACACTGGCATCCAAAAGGTTTCCATCATAGTCCAAACATATGATATTACAGTATAACACCCAAACAAGCTATCAAAAAAGGTTTGCACATGTGAGATATCACAGCAGCTAAGCAAATGGTCCAATATGAAAGAAAATTCTGGTCTGGCCACACTGAATACAGATACTTATTTCTATCATGCAATTTTTACACTTCAGATGTAAACCAAGCTATGAAGACTGAGCAGCAAAACAACAAGAAAACAACCTATAACCCCAAATACTTTCTTTAACAGCTCACTACTGAGATGTTGTTAATGTCCCCCTCTTCATTTTGATATACAACTTACCTTGCCATTTGGAATACACAGATCACTATCATCTGTGAACTAAAATGAGGGAATAAGACAGGAAACAGAAAACTCTTGCAGAGTTGTCTGTGTTTTAAATACACCAAGATGGTTTTTACTTTTCAATCACATCTGCAATGAACTGGCTTGCTGCTTGAGCCTCTTCACCAGGTGGTCCAGAGCAAAACCTCTCTGAACAGAGGGATGGCAGTTCTACATTTGGTACTAGGTATCAAAAAAGCAGGCAGTGGGATATCAAAAATGGATATAAGACAACAGTCGCTCTTAATACCATTTTATGTACTTCAAGGCAAGACCAAAAATTTTTCAATCAAGCCTCCCTACTCCCTTCAAAACTAAAGTTACACATAAGTTGGTATTAAAGAACTTGTAGTACTCTGTATTTAGAGACTATATATTTCATGGAAAAACATAGAGTCCTAACTACCATTTTCTATTTATAATCCTGCTGTGACTATCATGACCCCATACAAACTCTTCTTTAAGTGTTAGGCACTCTTCAGTAGATCAAGAAACAGCAGTATTTTCATCCCACTGCCTGACTTGACTGGTATGCTACCTGTTTTTAATCAGCCTATAAAAACTGAGG